CGTAGCTATCCACCTAGCTAGTGACATTAATGAAATTGTTGATTGTTATTGACACATCGCCTAAGCAACAAAACAAAGTGATCTATCAACATACCTATGAAAACCGTGCGATCACTCTCTTCACGCACACGTGTGTAAGGAGAAGCTTACTGCCATTGTTTTGTGTACAATTTCCATTACTTACAGTAGTAGTCGTAGGAAAAAGTTATGACCAGGTGAACATCCACCATTTCAATTGATAAATGATCAATTCAAATTTCATATTATAAGCTTAAGGTTGAGAAATATAAAAGTCTTTAGAGTTGTAATTATGTTTATCAAAGTTTACTACCAGGAAAAGGAAAATCAATGAATCACTCAGCTCTCTGAGGTTTTCAGGTTTCGAGCTTTCGAACAAGTTAAATTCACTTCACTGTTTCAAAAAGTTAATATAGGAACATGTAAGCCGTTTTGACCAATGATGAATAATTTTGACACAAAAAAATCCTGAAGTTGAAAAATCTCGATTTTGAACACCCTATATCTCTGTTATTATTCCTGCTAGACCCCAAGTGTGATGCATTGATGAAATCAGCTCTTTGGGAAAAATCTAAAAACGCAATAAAATACAGGGTGTTCCATTTGAAATAACAAATATAATGCTACTTTTTGGTAAAAGTGGCAACGTTGCTTCGCTGAAAATATTTTGAATCTTCAGATCACAAACGCTTATCAGAGTAACCGAATTTTCAGGATAATCCAATGTATCGTTTTCCGTATACGTCTAAGGTACCATCGACCGTGGGCCACCCTGTATAAGAGCAATAGTCAGTTTTTTATATAAAGTAGTCGAATCATTCCGGTTCTCTATCAGCCATAATCATCCACGACATGATCTTCTTGGACACCCAGTAATATGGGGAATAAAAAGAGGTGTTTCCCCACTACGGTTCCTGACTGCAGGTAGTGATTTGTTAGGTCATTTCAGGAAGAAAAGTTTTTATTAACATATGTCCGGAGTTGCTTCGTTTCTGAGATACAGGGCATTGAAATAAAAAAAAAAACACGGTAATTATAAAATATCATGAATATTCTGTAATCGATTTGGTTGAAAATTTGTTCTTCCATTTGAACTGATGAGTCGCTTATTTAGCACTTTTCAGATTAAAACTTTTGAGGCCAGTAGCGTCTAAGTGGGCACCACAGCCAACAATATTGTAAAAAAATCACGCCACTGACTCTTTCTGGTTGATTGTTATTTCATTGATCAACTCAAAATACAACTTTTTGAACTCCTGTGTATTCTTCATATTTAGCTTCGTTTTCGAAGAAAAAAAATTATAGCCACTCTATTGCATATCATGAACACCTGATGAAATGAGTTTTCCATTTTTTGTGCCTAAAATATAATTGACAGTTTATATAAGAGAATTTTACAACGTCGCATCAAATTGTCGCTCCAATTCTGTTGTCAATATTTGACATCAGACTGACTGGGTCTGAACCAACGAACGGAGTGTCGGTTCTGTTGTGTTGAAGACGAAACGGCTGAACACATATTATGTTCATGCTCTAGCTAAGGAAGACTGAGGTTCGACACATTTGGCTTTACGAATTCAGAACTCATCGATTTCAGACAAATCTCACCCAATTCAACCATGAACTTTGTGAAAAGATGTGGATTATACGGTGAACTGTAACCTCTAGCCACAAAAGACCTATCTGGGGTCGCAGTGAAGCGGAGGTATTCGCCCCACTCACATGGAACCTATACCTATGGGACTAGACAATTGAATTACTTGATAGCAAATACATTCGAGTCGAACATTGGTGAACAATCTGTATTTCACAATGGAATAATTTTATAATTCCATTACCAAATGAGTTGAAAAGTAAACACCACCTTTTGCATTTTTCTAAGGGCTCATCAAAAATGAATTCTAAAATCAGCAGCATAGTGTTGTCAAGAAACGACAGCAGAAATGTCTGGAGAGCTGGGACGTGGGTTGGTCAGATGTTATTGATCAATCAGTATTTTTATGTTTTGAAAGGAGAGCCACTTATATTTGTTGAGATGGAAGATTAGAAATCAAAACAGTGTGAAGTTTAGTCAAATATAGTTTATTCAATCATGATGGCACCAAATGTTTGTTATAAATTTCATACGCTTCAATAATAGTTAATCCCAATTGAAAAGCGATCAGATAAGTAACTCGAATTCTTAAGGTACAGTCGTATTCAATAAAAAAGCGTACAAGCATTGAAAAGAGAGGATTTCGGGATACTAGTACTAGTTGTGTGAAACTCGCTCAGCCAATGCTTTGTTTTCGAGAACCTATGACAACTCATTTGTCAACATTTGGTGAACAATACTACCCGATAGCCCGTTTTATGGAGAATAGGATGACGATAATTTCTCTCTGTAATATACATGAACGCTTTTTTCTTGAATGCGACTGTACCTACTTACTTGAATGCTTCATGAGACACAATGCTTACCGAGAACAGCTGCATAGGGTTTACAAGGACCGCTGTGTATTACAACTCTGTTGTCCATCATATACCTTGAACTCTACTTCATATAAACATAACCGTACTCCACACATGAATCGAATGTGTAATGATAAAAGAAATACTGTGACCAGCAAGGATATTGGTGAAATTAAATCATTCAACCCCATAAAGATAAATTAAATTGAATCGAGCTCACCAGGAATGTGTATATAGACACCCATATCACCTTCCTCGGAACTCTAGGAACTTCTTACACCAGATCACCTCGGATGGGATCTCCAGGACAGGGTGACTTCAACAGCCACGGTGAAGCCTGCCTTGAACCAGGGTTACTTCTAACAAAGGAGGCTTGACTCCAAGGAGAATATCGAACCCGAGGAACCTCTTGAAATCAAGGGGCTCTTCGAAGCTGAAGAGCGTCAAGCCAAAGATCAGCAGGTGATCAGCAGAATCAGTGTCTCCATCAGTGGTAAGGCAGCGGTCAGTATAGTGAGGTACATGTCCGGAGTAGAACAAAGAGTTATAATTCCTGACAACCCTAGGACATGTCCAGAAAATTAATCGACCAGGTATTCGTGTGATCCGTGATTTTCGTGAAACTCGTGAGACTCGTGGAAGCCGGCAGAGCTATGATATAGATCGATCCTGTTGCAGGCCAAAAATATGCTGTGTGGTTCAAAAGACTCAATTTCCACGAGGGATTGGCTTCGCACGACCAAGTGAAAATTGAACGATGAAGAGCAAACGAACAGCACTAAAAAGAACGAAGGAAAAAACCTGACGTGACTTGTGACTTATGACATTGACATGAAACAATTTGATAATTGACTTTGAACAAATTTGAATTCATCAGATTGACAGCCAATGGGAATGAATAAATAAATACGAATTCAACTGGTAAGTACAATTCTTCTTGGAGCTCAAATACTTCCTCTGTTATTCCACCTAATCCTTTTTTTTATTTTTACAGATTGTTCCTGTAGTTCAGGAATTGCTCAGAAAATATTCATCAGTTTGAAGAATACACTGACTGACTTTAGGTAAATTATGTCCTTGACTTTGTCTAGAAACCTATATGTTTACTTCAATTTCAGGAATAGATGTTTTCAAATACATCAGCAGTGGACCAACCAACCCAACAGGTACAAGAAATGAATGAAATACGGATCATTACCATGCTATGTAATTTATATGATGTACGTTTATGTAATAAAATGTGAACTAGAAGCCTAGCTGTTTACTTTGGATGATACATTCAAGTCTGAGCACAAAAAGAGGAAAGTATATACCATTCTACTACTCGAGTTGAAATGAAGATGAATTCTCATGTTACAATATAAAGTTGATGCAATATTGCTATTGAAACTGAAATGGAAGGTCATCTGGTAACTTATAAACAACTTGTCAGTAGGTTTTTCTGTTATATTTTCAACACCTATTTAGCAGCATCACGAAAGGGAGCTTATCACAATATATTGTATAGCAATATTTTGTGACATTACATGTTCAGAGGGTTATAACGCTGCTACCACTGATAGAGCCAATCAGTGAGATTTGCAGCTCTACATTTCGTATAGTCCCACCCTCCCCAAGTTTTGAAAAACAAAAGGGATTTTGGAGTCTTATCATACTGGAAACCAAATTTTTTTTTCAATCATGTTTTATGTCGCACGGCAATTTATTGAAAAATTTAATACACATATAATGGGAACTTTTCTCTGATAGTGTCAGGCGATGTATGGAGTAGTATTGGCTTGATGGGGAACTGGAAACTTGTATATATATATTGCATATACAGTTATTATATTCTCTGATCTGAATACAGACCTAAATGTTTGATTATAGTTAATTTTCTCAATCTTCCTGAGTAATCGTTTTTGGATAACAAACATGTCTTGAATATGGATATTGCTACCCCAGAAAATTATTCGATATCACAACACTGATTCGAAATTGGCAAAATATAGTATCTTCAAAGTTTTCTCATTCATATATCTGCTGACGATTCTGGATCCATTCAAACCAGTTTCTTCGTTAAGTGATTTATGTGACAAAACCAATCTAAAAATTCGTCGATATATACACCTAGAAATTTTGTATTTTCTGAAAAATCATAATTTTATTCTCCCCTTCCACTGGGTCGGTTTTTCTACTCCAGCCAGCTTTGTTCTGATTGAAATAATATTGGTTTTTATCTTCATTCACAATCATTTATGATTATTATTAATATTTTCCTAGAGAATGTTTCCGGTTTTTTTGCATTGCACCATAGCCATTTCGTGTTCTCCTATTGATGACATGAATAATTATACCTAAGCACATTCCACTTGATTATACATAAGCGCATTTCCCTGTTTGATAGCGTTATTGATAACTATTGACGCCAACAATCTGCCTGTATTGAATGAATTGAAATGTGTTCAATTTCAAATTTGGAATCGAATATTCTCAACTTTTCCATTATAATTCTGAATTCGAAGTTGTATAGGAATTGATACTATCGTTACCTTTGATACTTTTGACCAGATGTAATGTACTGCCAACCAGAACAAGAGAACTATACACAGCGATCAGTACAAACTTTATGTAAAACATTTTGCCTGGATTCAACAAATCTTTTGCTGAGGGAAAGAACCAATATAAACGAAATACTTTGATAGAAAAAGGCATGCAAATGATGTCTCTTGGCTTCTCTTCTTTCTTTTTTTGGTTGAGGTCGCCCATTTCGTTTATAATAATTTTCACGACTGACTCTATAATATGACTATGGTGAGCACTTATAATATCATGAACTCACAGATTTCGATACTTGAATTATGTGACCTACTTCAGAAATATCACTAGCATTTCTCTGTGATCTACATAATAAAAACGATTCCACATAAATCAACACATTCAACAGAGCCGGCTCATAAGGAAACACAAGACAAACATCATCTAGGAGGAAGAAAGATTCCTAGAAATATTATAACATGAGAAAGATGGAAACATTGAAAAATACATCGAAAATTTGAATTATCTATTCGATAAGAATGATACTCTGCTTATCTTGTATATTCGATAGAAAATAAATACATTCATGGTTGAACGCCATGATGAACTTCCGATTATATAAAAATATGAAAATGAAACTGAATTATTCTGAATCATTAGAAATCGACAAACTCAAAAATTCTTCACTTAACGATCAATTAGACCTCAATAGTTCACCACTGTTGAATTTGTAATAATTTGATATTTGCTATTTGCTATTTGCTATCAACTTTTTCAAGCTAATCCGGTACACCGTATTTCAATGTAGTAATTTTGCATGATTTCCGAAAATGGAGCTTTATCATAACTGTCCACAGGTAACTAATCCTCCAGGTTAGGAAAGTAGGATAGATATATGAAAGTTAAGCAAGCCAACGTTAGTTCAGTTCATTGTACCAGTATATCACCTGACGAAGCTACTGTGTAAGCGAAACATGTCGTGTGATTGAGAATTTTGTGGAAATCTTCATCTGAGGTGATGGTCATCTATACATTCTCTTGAATTTCAAAATGACTTTGCTATACTCGAATAATGGAAATATAATAATAATAATAATGGATTTTATTGACAGGTATGGGTGAATGCAAAATAAATGAAAAATGATGAAGAGCTGAGAACCTATCAAACGGCAGAATTCAAGTTCAGATCATTTCACCAGTGAGAGTAACGAAATCAGAACTTGCTCTCCCATTCAACCAAGGGAAACAAATAATTATCGCTTTGTTATACATACACCTATAAGAAACCAAATATAAAATAATTTGAATTTACACATGAACATTCTAAATATAAGTCATCGTAATTGAATGAATAATGAATTTTAATAATCATTGATAATTGAAGTAGATACTGTTTTTGTATTCAACATACATATATATAGTATATGTGCAATCGCATGCACATGCTGGATGCATACCTATAAACCATAGTAACTGAGACAAAGAGTTATGGAGTAAGTCAGATTTCAGTTTTTTTCCGAAATTTGGAATCGATAATGTTTTCATTAAATCCGGGAGTCGATTGTTAAGCCAGGCGATATTATAGGAGAAAGAGAAAATAGAGGTTTATCGTTCCTGTCCACAGGTAACTAATCGTTCAGGTTGGGAAAGTAGCATAGGTATATAAAAGTTAAGCAAGCCAACGTTAGTTCAGTTCATTATACCAGTATATCACCTGACGAAGCTACTGTGTTAGCGAAACATGTCGTGTGTTTGAAAATATTGTGGAAATATTCATCTGAGGTGATGGTCATCTTAACATTCTCTTGAATTTCAAAATGACTTTGCCATACTTGAATAATGAGAATATGATAATGATAATGGATTTCATTGACAGGTATGGGCAAATGCAAAATGAATGAAAAATGATAGAGAGCTGAGAACCTATCAAACGGCAGAATTCAAGTTCAGATCATTTCACCAGTGATAGTGACGAAATCAGAACTTGCTCTCCCATTTGGTTGATTACGCAACGAAATGTGTAAATGTAATAAACCAGGAACTGTAAATTTATAGATCGGACTGATTACGCAAGATCACCCTCTGAAAATCAAGGAGCTACGATTGCATTATTATATTCTGAAAGTAGTTGAAACAAAATACAGAAAAATCAACTGAGGCAACACTTGACCTACCAAAATATGGTTCCATAGGGATATGAGGGTTGAATTAGGAGAATTATCCGTGCTAGTCGGTTCCTGATGTGGAAACTCCTATTGACCCGCACCGGCTGGGTTGAAATATCACACACGTAATTATTAGGCTATTATAATTGACAAGTAACTTTGTTCTTGACACGAAACTTTAGTAGTTGAGTAGAATGGTAGTCGTAATCGTACACTATCGAGCACTATCCGGGCATCCGATGATAGCTATAGCACCGATCTTCTATCTATCCATAAATCTACTGATCGTTGGACGATACGACCAGTCTTTTTCTGAATGTCTCTTTTTGTTTGTCATTCAGAAGTTCACTTGGTAGGAAATATATAGGAATACATAGGCGTAGGTATTGGTATGGAAAAAAGGGAATTTTGATTCTTCAAGTAATTATTGAAAAATATTAAACTATCAAGTATTCAAGTGAATGCATGAAAATAACCCAAAAAAAACTTATCCACCTTACAACGAACATATTATGTGCATTTAACGAAAATTATATAACACATAATCTGAAACAAAAAAAATATATCGATAATAATATGAACAAATCGAGGTGACGAACCATACCGCCCCCCCTGGAACTGCCCAAGGCATTTTCTGAAATTTCAGTTTGGTAGTGGGCATAACTTTACTAAGGGTCGTTTGTATACCCCCTTGGCCGTTTTGACCAAGGCAACCCTCACAACCCCATCTGTACCAGGATAAACCTCCACTATACGGCCAAGTGGCCATGAAAGTGGACTAGTGAATTCATTTTTTTAGACAACCAATGCACCGATAGAGACTGGTGTATCTTCATGGTTCCACTCTGCTCTCTGTTGAAGAGTGTGGAGATTTTCATTGCTCTACCTTTTCCAAAATCCCTGATGAAGGTGCTGTGAAAGTTGCCATCTAGTAAGGCGATTCATTGGTATATTCGAGGTGTCAGGATCAGGAATAGCCGTGAGGAGTGCCAGGGTCAAGAAATGACCAGGGGTTAATACATTTAAATCAGTGGGATCCGTTCTCATTGGAGATAACGGTCATGAATTAAGTACCGCTTCTATGTGAGTTGAAACTGTGGTGAACTCCTCAAATGTAAGAATTTGATCACCAACTACTCGCATTAAATGAGTTTTGACCGATTTAATATTAGCCTCCCATATACCGGCCATATGTGACCCATATGGTACATTCAAAGACCATTTTATAGATTCTTGCTCAGCAGCATCGAGCATGATTGTTTTTAAATATTTAGCAGCAGCCACAAAATTTTCACCACAATCCGATGAAACGACGAAAAGCCATTAGGAAGGCTTCTGAACTGAGATCAGAAACAAGTTCTAAATGTAACGCCTTTGTGGCTAGGCAAATGAAAGGGGAGACGTATGCTTTGTTCGTTTTTGCGCCTCTCAATCTTTTCATGGTAATTGGAAAAGGTCCACAAAGATCTACTCCTGTATTTTCGAATGGTTCAACTTGGGTCACCCGGTATTTTGGGAGATTACCCATCGGCGGCTGAAAATTGGTCGGTTTGGTTTTTCAACAAGTATGACAAGTATGTTAAACCTTTCTCATCACCTTCTTCGCAGAAATAATCCAGAAATTTTGAAGTAGTAAATAGTACGTGGTTTGTATTCCAGCATGTGAATATGAAGCATGTATCTCCGTAATGAGTAATGTCGTAAACCGGCAATTATTTGGTAGCAAAATAGGAAATTTTTTGTCATTATTCAAGTCTGTATTGTAGAGTCTACCTTCCACTCTTAAAAATCCGTTATCATCTAAACACGGTTTAAGTTTCTGTAAAATTTTAGGTACTTGTTTTCCGTTATTGATAAGAGCAATTTCTTTCTTGAAATGTGTATATTGAATATGTTTAGCAATACATAATAATGCATGGTGCAATTCTGTTAAAGTTAAATAGGGAAGTGAAATTTTATTCTCAACATTTTTCAAATTATATTTATAGCGCAAAACATACGCGATAATTCTCTTGATTTTACCTAAAGTTGAATATTTCTCCAATAAAACATCGATCGTCGCTAGTATCGACATGGGTTCTACTAAAGTATTCAAAACAGTTTTCCGCTCCTCTTACATAACTTCGGGGGAGTTCACCAATTCAAATCTTGGTAAATCCCAAGTATTTTGTGGTGTTGATAGAAAAGGCGGGCCGTTTCACCATAATGAATGATGCAGAAGTTCAGAAGGATACAGACCACGTGACCCACAATCTGCGGGATTCAAAGATGTCGGAATATAACACCAATGCGCTGGTGATAATTTTTCTTGTACATATGTAACTCTATTACTCACGAAAGTATTCAAACTATGTGGTGATTTTTTCAACCACGTGAGAGCAACCGTGGAATCGCACCAAGCAAAAATATTTTCATCCTGAAATTCAATTGGTAAATTTCTCAGAATAAAATGCATCAATTTCGAGAGCAATACAGCTCCACATAGTTCAAGACGTGATATGGAGATACGTTTCAAAGGCGCAACCTTTGATTTTGCCGCAATAAAAAATATTTCGATATTATTATCAGTATACACGATTCTTAAAAATATAACAGCGCAATACCCTTTTTCAGAAGAATCGCAAAAACCATGTAGTTGTAATGAAGTACAGTTAACAGTATCGATGTGACGAGAAATTTTTAGATTTGACAAGATCGAAAATTGATCTTGGAATTTTTACCATTTTTCCAGAATCTCTGGTGTGGCTATCTGGTCCCAATCCAGTCCTAGCAACCATAAATGTTGAATAATTAATTTAGCAAATAACGTTGAAGGTGTTGAATATCCAACTGGATCAAAAATTCTGCTAATATAGGATAGAATATTTCGTTTCGTGCAGACTTTATGATTGGCTTGTAATGAATATAGGAAAGAATCAGTTTGCGCATGCCATTTGAGACCTAGAATCTTTAAAGTGGTATTATTTTCCATGTCAAAGGCTAACGCCTCATTCTGAATATGGGTTTCAGGTAAGTCATTCAATAAATTTGTGTCATTACTTGCGAATTTTTGGAGTTCGAAACCTG